AAACTATACCGCGAGCCAACAGACGAGCACGGAGATCGCCTGACGGACGGACGGCTGGCCGATCAGCCGACCAAGGAGCGAGATCCTTACAGCTTGTTTGGTTGCCAGTTGATATGTACGGTTACTCAGTACGGACGCACACGTGATCGATGGTGACGGATCTAGCTTATCCAAACCCTCCACCAAACCAGGTTTCGGTTATCAAGTAAAAAGTATTTAAGTTTACTTGAAAGAATAGAGAAAAATTAAAAAATTAAAGGGTCAAAACTCATATTTTCAAAAGATTGGGAGGCCAAAACCTATATTTTAAAAATATTATTCAAAATTACTTGGATGTTTTTTTTTTTTTTTTTTTTTTTTTTAATCTTGGGTGTCCACTTATGTATAAGCACGTTTATTCTCGTTCATGTTTTCGTGAATTAGGTAAATTGCACATTTTTTTTTGTTTCCTGTCGAGATGGTGATCCGCATAAAAGGCAAAGTTGCAAAGTTCATTTACCCTTAATTTTTTACTGCCATCAACCGAAATCAAAACCGGAAACCGAAAACCGAAATTGAAAACCAAAACTAATTACATAAATCACAGACAATACAGGATCCTAGCCAGTTGCAAATTAGAAATGCTCAAAGTAACAAGATTAGCAACATAATAATATATTCGAACTTCGAAATAGTTTGTTGGCAATGATGACAACCTTAACCACACGTACACAGTGATACTGTTACAGTCCACTTGTATATCATCTCAGCTGTATCTCTACCAAAATATTCTTTGATTTGCTATACCTGAAAGAGTTATTTCAACGACAACGATTAAATTTTATCGTTAACTCAAATTAAATTTTCTTAGAATTATCACATTTTCTCGATTCATGTGGTCTTTACACAGTTTATGTGATTTATCACATCAATTTGTAATATATCTGCATTTCCCTGATTTATATGCCTTTTTTTTTTCTTTTCTTAGTGTTCAAAATTGATGGCTACCAATATCGATATATGGCAGCCAGTTTCAAGAAGCAGCCCCGATAAATTCGATTTCCTTGAGAATCAGGAGTTGGAAAAGGTTAGTTGTTTTAATTTATTTCTCCTTTTTCAAAAAATTATACTCGGAATTATGTGAATTAGATAATTGTGTAATTTGATTAAAAAAATTTTTTTTTTGTTTTGGTTAGTTTCTTGCAAAGTCGGGAGTATTTGAAAGTCGAGAAGCATCTTCTAAAAGAGAGGAAGTTCTTGGTAGATTGGATCAGGTCATTATTTGTACTTTCAGAAATATATATATACATTTCTTTTAATTTATTTATTTAAAAGTGATTGAAACGTGAATTACTTATCTACAATCTACAATTACCGTGCAGATTGTGAAGACGTGGGTCAAGAACCTCAGTCGTGCGAAAGGTTATAGTGAATCAATAGTTGATGAGGCGAACGCAAAGCTTTTCACCTTTGGCTCTTACCGACTCGGTGTATGAATTTCGTCTTCTTCTTCCTTTGAGTGAAATTGTTTTCTTGATTTTTCTTCTGATTTATGAGGATTGACTTTGTATCTCTTCTTGAATCTAAATATATAGGTGCATGGGCCTGGTGCTGATATTGATACATTGTGCGTCGGACCACAATACGCGAGCCGTAGTGTAAGGCTTACTTTCTTAATTAATATCTGAAATCTTTTTCAACAGTTGATTCTCGATGGTTGATGAATTTGTATATAACTTTGTAATAAATGCAGGAAGATTTCTTCGGCGGACTTCAGAAAGATGCTGTCAGAGATGCCTGAAGTAGAAGAGCTGCATCCTATAACCGAGGCTTATGTTCCGGTGATGAAATTCAAGTTTAACGGTGTTTCCATCGATCTACTATACGCAAATGTGTCCCTCTCCTGTATTCCTGAAGTACGAACCCTCTTTTGTAACCCTCTTTTGTTTCCAACTTTCATTATCTTTGTCCGTTTTATTGTACTTCAAATTCGATTTGAAATATTATATAATTGATACTTATTATTTGGTTCTTAGGACTTGGATATTTCACAAGATTCTATACTGCAAAACGTGGATCCAAAGACTGTTCGTAGTCTCAATGGCTGTAGAGTCACTGACCTAATATTGCGCCTCGTGCCAAATGTTAAGGTCCGAATACCGCAATTCCAAGCTGAAGATAATATAATATATTTTTTCTTAAATGTTTTCTAAATTATATTTTTATCGTATTTTTTAGACATTTTGTACTACCCTAAAATGCATGAGGTTGTGGGCGAAGCAACGTGGCATCTATTCAAATGTGAGCAAAATACCTAAACTTTTTTTTAATTTTTTTAATTTCTGGATAGAAGTCTTTCTGTTATTCTAAACGCTCGATTTCACTTGCCAGGTGTCCGGATTCCTAGGTGGTATTAATTTGGCATTGCTCGTCGCCCGGGTTTGCCAGATGTATCCAAATGCTATGCCTAGCATGTTGGTCACTCGTTTCTTTAGAGTGTACGATCAATGGCGGTGGCCACTTCCTGTTATGTTGTGCCCAGTTGAAGAAAAATCTTTAGGATTTCGGATTTGGGACCCTCGGACGAATTGCATGGATAAATTACATCGCATGCCAATAATAACTCCGGCATATCCGTCCATGAACTCTAGCTACAACGTTTCAGCTAGTACATTGCAATTCATGGTACAAGAGTTTCACAGGGGGAATGAAATATGTAAGGTAATTATAAAATAAAATAAAAACAAGTAATTTTGGTTGATATTTTTGTTTGCGTCTTTGCTGCGATTCGTTGTTTATCTCAGGATGGATGTATAGTTTTGTGGTGGTTGAATTAAAATGAGTCGAATTGCAATTGTAGGCCATAGAAGTAAGCAAGGGTAGCTGCTGGGATTCTTTGTTTGAGCCGTTTGCGTTTTTCGAGGCATACAGAAATTATCTTCAGATCAACATAGCGGCAAAGGATGGGGTTGACTTGTTGAATTGGAAAGGATGGGTCGAGTCTAGGATCCGCTTGCTTACCTTGAAGGTTAGTTGAACTGCTCTTTACATTTTATTTTTGTTGCACGTATATAGCCAAATTCTGATGGTTTATTCTCCGAAATTGAGTGTTCTGTTTGCACATTGCCCCTTTAAAATATTTTTTTTTTGTTTGGGGTTTAATTTGATTGATTAATTCCAGATTGAAAGGGACACGAACGGGATGGTACAATGTCATCCACACCCCGGTGAATTTTCGGAGAAATCGAAGCCATTTCAGCACAGCTATTTCATGGGCTTACAACGGAAACAACAAGGGAGTGCTAATCCAAAGGAAAGCCAATTACAAGTCGATTTAAGAACAACGGTTGATGAATATATAAATTACGACGTATACAAATACGCATCTTGGAAGGAAAACATGTCGATTCAAGTGTTCCATATAAAGCGAAAAG